TTGTTACATAACATCTTTGTTCCAACTGCTGCACTGTGTTTATGACACTGTATGAGCCTCATCATTTGTGGTAGAATATGTGCCAACTTCCCATCTAGTGAACCAGTGGTGCAGTTAGAGCCCCAAAGCATTGTTACAGGACAGGGAGAGGGGCACCCCATAATCCTCAAACCCGCCTGCTCTAAATAGGTTCTGCCATCTGCCACATCAAGACATATAGAACTTTAATGGAAAGGAACTTCAATACAATCAGTGCACAATACAGAAAAGACAATATAGTTTTCAATTCAAGCACCTGAAGTTACCGGTCCCCTTATGGGTAAAAGTCCAGCCAAACAGGACTGGCCCAAGGCAAGGTCCAAAAGCCTGCCACAAGCGCCTTCCAGAGGGGAACCATAGGAAAGGGTCAGAAACAATAAGACAAGTCTGGGAGGAAAAAAGCAAAAGCAAAATCAAGAAGCTGCCATCTTAAATCTCTCCACACGTCTCTCACCCACAGCTGTTTCAACTAGTCTAGGACCAAAAAGCCAGTGCAGTTTTTTCACATGTCTCTCTGCTCTGTAGAGCATACCTCCTCCAGGTCTTCTTCTTGCTCTCCATCCTGCTTCCTCCCTTCTCCTCCCTTCTTCTCCTCCCTGCTTAGCTCCACACTCACTTGGGTGGGGCAGGGAACCTGAAACCTCCCCTTTTCCGGGGGACCACCCAGTTACAACATCACAGGCTGATTGCTTTGATGATAACTTAATTCCACCACTGAGGAATATTGCAATCACATTTTGAATAAAACCCACACAGTAGCCCAGACCTTATTGGAATCTCCATATGAACACTGATATTTTTAAAAACTTACATTAGTAAAATTGTTATAGGGCAGCCCTGATACAAAATGGGGTGTCTGACTGTGGGTCCTCACCCACACGCTTAAAAGGACTTATCAATGCTCTACTGCAGGCACACACGAAATGAATTGAAATCTTTATCACTCCCACGAGATTAAAATCATTCCCCCAAAATAAAACCTATTAACATATTTCTATCACTTACAAATGAATACAGAAGCTTAACCACAGGAACTTTCCTATCTTTGTCAGAAAAGATGTCTTCCTGAATGTAGGGCACAATTATATACAGATTTACTCTCCACATTCTTATCCTTAAACACCACATACTCATTTTCAATTTGTAAAGAAACCATGATAAGGCTAGCAGCATTAGCTTACCATTTTCACAAGCACTAACAACTTTACTTTAAACAGAGTATCAATGGACAGCAGTAATTTCTAAGAGAATGCTACTGTATACCAACCTTATTGCATGTCAAAAAAAGTTTTGTTGTACTGTTATCAACATGTCTTTAAAAACATGGATTTAACCTTTGATATGCATAAAGGAGGGAATGCTTGCAAGATGAAATAAGTAGTTTTGCACAATATTGCTTCATTTGAAGTATTTCAGCAAAATATTAACATTGGGCCTCCCCTGGTGGCGCAGTGGTTGAGCGCTGGGCTGAGAAGCTGCCCGCAGCCTCTGCAGCACCGGTTCAATCCCTGGCTGCTGGCGAGGGTTCCACATGCCGCGACAGACCTCTCCTGCCTTGCCCACTGATCCCCTCAGCAGTGTATTTCGTCAGTCTGCCTGTTCTGTTCCCCATTCTGGCTCTGGTGAATTCTCTCACCCTCCTGCGCTTCTGACTGTACCCAGTGCTTGTATAAATAAATAAATAAATCTTAAAAAAAAAATTAACATTGCCATCCTTCACATTTATCATTTCTAATGCAATAACATAATCTAATTCCAACTTCTAAAGCTACTCCCACAGGCTAGGACTAGACCCTGCATCCAAGTGACCCCCACACTGATCTCTGCCCTTAAGAGAGAATATGTAGAAACACACATTCAGGCATTCCCATGAGATTTAGCTGAAGCAAAGTTTTCCAAACCCAGTTGGAGGTCTGGGGCTCCTGGGTGCCTTCAGAAAGAGATGGGGGGTAAGGGGTTCTGTAACCAGGATCTTAACTTCAGGGAGAAGGAAGTTGAGAATATACAGTAGGGGCCACACCATTTTCCTTTTAGTCTTTTCTTTTTACTTCTTTCCATCATTCTTAACTGTCAACCATGCTGCAAGAATGTTCCCTGAGAAAGAAGTATTGCTCTGACCATTGAACACTCCCTAACAGGTAAACTTCTGAGACAGACAAACACAGGAATAAATGGTATACAGGGTGGTAAGGGTTATGGCAGAAGAATGGGTAGTGTTGCCAGGTACATGTGGGCTTACAGAAGGACAAACTCAGGTGGTAAGGCAATTGATGTGTCCTGATAGGGAAGTGAGTAGGAGATAGCCATATACTGGAGACCTTTCCTAGACATTCAGCAAATTATTCTGACCCCAATATGTTACCACTGCTAGCTGGAGGCATTTTAATGCCAAATAAGAAAGATGTACCATCTTTAACACTTAAGAAGTTAAATGGTGACAAGGCAGCTTTCTCAGTATCAGGCACTTTCTCCAGCAGTAATTACCTGTGTGCCAGGACAGCATTTTCATAAGTAGCTCAGAAGCCCCAAATGAGAAACCATTTTGGAAGTCACTATAATCAATGATGCCAGGAAGCAGATTTCCTTCCACTTCATGCCTACATCAGGGCATCCTGAAAAGGGGGATTCCAAGTTTGAGTTGAAATCTACATTGGAAGTAAAAACCCCTCCTATTCAGAGGTTAATCTCACCTATTTCCCCTTATGATATTAATGCCCTAGCAAACCCTGGACTATCTCATTCTCACAGTAGTCCCAGAAGCTTACTTGCATACAAACACTTAATCAGAAAGTGCTCCCAACCAAGTATGAAAATAAATTAGAATTTGTTTTAGCTAGGATTAGGTTCACAGCACTAAGAAATAAAGTAACAGTTATCTATCTAACAGTCCAGCCACAGACCTCTTGGTTATTGTCCATGGAGGCGCCTCTTAATTTAAAATATGCACAAAAACAAAACACTAACTACTCTTAGAGTTTATTGCAGTTAATCCACAGGGAAACTAGGATTGGGAGGACAACAAAATCATTGAATCTAGAAGTGGTTTGAAAGAAGGCAAAAAATGATCAAGCAGACAGTAAGGGAAAAATCTGGTAAAAAATGTGGTTTGTGTAAAAACTTATTTCCTTAGGGACAAAGCCATGTCCTTACAATGCTCAAATGTTAATTGTTTCAATTAACGCAGAGTTCATAATGCGCACTTAACACTTTCATGTGGCTGTAAGTTTTCTAAATAGTAGCCACAGAGAAGCAAAGAGCTTGATCTCCCACCTGGGTTTCACAGCACTAGCAGTTCAGCTAATACATTTATTATACATGCCAATACTACAAAAGTCAATCCCACTCTCCACTTTCACTATTGAGCCTTTTAGCCACTTTTGTTCTGAATCTGTGATTTATTTTTAAGCAAAAATAACTGAATAGCACACTTCAAATGAAGATAGTTATAGCTGCTACAGAGAAATACAAAATGTGAAGGTCTAGCAGAGACTCTGAAAGATTCCCTTGGTGTTAGATTTTTAAATGACCTTAGAAGCCAAAGCCTTCTCCTTAGCATTAGTAAAGGACCCAGGACCCTCTATTTTAGATTTGAAACCTCTCCCTCCAGGTGAAATTGGCAAAAGTTACTTAGGTCCTTGTGCCTCTTCCCACAACCTCTCTTTTTTAAGTTAAAAGGCCCTTACTGTCAGCATCGCCCAGGACTTATACCTTACAGGAAAATCCTGAGGATTAGGAAATGCTTCTACCACATTTGATCAACACTTCAAAAAGCTATTCTAAGCCCAAGCAGGAACAGCAAAGCAACAAGACCCTTAAAGAACCAGATAGTGGATAAGTGCATTCACCTAGCCCCAGACCTGGGGGGTGGGAGTGTTACCCCTTTTTCACTCCCTTTCCACATGAACCTATCCCTCATACACCCACATACACCATGAGGGTGCCATCCTTTCATTTTTTCCTTTTCTGTTGGTAGTCTGATATCACCTCTATCTGCCTTTCTGGCTGCTTTTACACCAGTCTCCTTTTCTTCCCTTTTCTAGTCTTCAGCCATACATAAGAAGCACAGGGTATTTATTCATCTTTTGCCCCCATAAATGACTCAGTGATGGTGCTAATAGGGAAAAACAGCCTTCTTCCTCTCTTTTAAGTATACAGTTCCTTAGGTTTGGCATCACTACTTCTCAAGTATTCAAAGACTTGGATGGGGGAGGGGGAGACATCCCTAAAGTCATCAAAAAAAGGTGGCTTTGGGCATCTCACATAGTTGAATACTGTTTGATGTAGTTTTAGCCTCAAATATTCTAGATGATATGTTGCAGTGAGAATCAGAAATTGCAAATATTCTTGCCTCAGAAAGTCAGGAGTCCAGTCTCAGGCAGGAAATAAAGTTCTAAGCAGCTTTGATGTGTTTCCTTCCAGTGCTGATCCATTCACCTCCTCAGAGAAGAGACCGCCTTGCTTGATCTCAACCAAACGCATCACACCAATACGTCAATTGATAGATTTAAAACGCCAGTGAGTTTCCCATCACACCACAAGCCCCAATCCTAGCCAATTAGTTACCATTGGCTTGTGTTCGGCTGGGATCACCTTTTTTTTTTTTTTTTTTTTTTGCTGATTACATAGAGGAATGTTGTACACAAATTGGGGGAAGGTGGTGGGAAGGGACAGAGGCACAGAAAGCAGAAAGTAAACGCCTTGGTGGTGTGGTGAGAGCTAGTTTCTTTTTTGAGCTACTGGTTTCAGACTGAAAATATCAAGCCAGTTCAGGTCATTTCCTTGAGTAGCACTACAAGTTAAAACAGGATCCAGAAAAATCTATTAATCTTTAATTATGTTGCCTCCAGCCTAGGAGCGTGGGGAGGGGTTTAAGTATGGGGCTGGGGTAGATAGCGAAGGAGGGGGTTTGCCAAAAAGCCAATGCCTCAGAAACCAGAGAACCCATTTCAGCTGTTTCTTACCTCACTTAGTTCTGTCGAGGAGTCGTTTCCATATTTCATGGCAACTCCAGTATTCATGACTGCACTTTTCAGAGCTGGGCTCCTCCTCCTCCTCCAGGTCTCGGAGCTTAAGCGTTGGGCTTAACTGGCTGGAGAACCACAGTATGGTCCCTTAAGGTACATTTTAGTCTAGACAGCCATTTTCACCCAGGACAGCGGTGAAGCCAAAATCGAGGATGCAGGCTCTTCTAAGAGGCACCGGGCCGGCCAGCGTTTCAGCGCCCAGCCATGGCTGCAGACCGCCGGGTGGCGTGCGCGCTCGCAGTTGCAGCGGCCGAGCTGGGACCACCCTGGTGCCGCCGCGCCTCTCTTAAGGTCCCTCGCCCACACCCATTACCAGGCTGGAAGGCACCTCCTCGTAGGATCGGACCCCCGGAGACACCAGGCGTACCGGGCGAGAAGGATCCCGGGGATGGAAAGCTCCACAGACTGCAGCCGGCTGCGCTTCACGCCGAAGTTTCCCCCTTTGAATCGTCTAGAGTAGTAAGTGGTTTCTGATTGAACCCAGCTGTCTAGCTGCTGGCTATAGGGTGTGCGGAGGAGGCGGAGCCAGAAAGAACGAGAGGAGGCCGAGCAGAGGAGACCTTGCCAAAGAACAGGCATCCTTCCAGGTCTCTGCGATAGTAATTACAGCACCCAAGTCCGGGAGGGAGAGAAGAAACAGGAAGATCCTTGTGAGCAATTGTGCAGAAAAATTAAAAACAAAGCAGACAAAAAAATACTTCCCTCCTGGAAGCCACTTTCCATAACATAGTAAGGAAGATCAAGACAATTTTCTATGGTTTCATTCAGATTTTACATGAGTGTGGGCGGCCATTCCCTTGATCAGTCTAAAATCAACACTGAGAACGTAAAATCACTCGCAAATCCCTCTTTGTCACTGGCAGCGTGCATTTTCTGCATAAGTGATACATGAAGGAAATACAAGATTAAAATTTGAAAGATGTTAAGTCAGGCTCAAATCTCCTACCATCCAAACTTCCAGACTTTCCTTTAAAATCTCATCTGGGCAGAGCTAGACTTGTATTATGTGAGGTTTGGCGTATGTATCAGAAAAGATTGAAGGGATTGATTGTTAAAAGAACTAGGTTTTTTTTCCTCCATAAAGGTTAAAGTCCAGCTGAGCTTGAGATACACTGAAAATGCTCTGATTCTTTAAAACAGTCGGTCTGTGGGACTGCTAAAGAGACTTCATCCGTCTCTTTCTATACAATAGGAACAAAATGTCTCCATCCCAGTGACAGAACTTGGCACTTCCTGAATCCTTCTATGAAAAAGCCATTGTGTTATTAATTTCCAAGTTCTTTTTTTAAAACCAAATAAGATGTTTATTTTGCTCTTTAAGAAGAAGCAAAAGTTTGCTTGCATAAGAAGAAGAAATCAAGAAAACCATTCCTTTTATTATTGAAACAAAAAAAATCAAATACTTGGGAATAAACCTAACAAAAGAAGTAAAGGACCTACACAAAGAAAACTATAAAACACTGTTAAAAGAAATAGAAGATAACAAAAAGAAATGGAAAGACATCCCCTGCTCATGGATCAGAATAATTAACATTATTAAAATGGCCATCCTACCAAAAACAATCTACAGATTCAATGCTATTCCAATTAAATTTCAATGTCATTCTTCAAAGAAATAGAAAAAATATTGATGAAATTCATATGGAGCTACCAAAAACCCCGAATAGCCAAAACCCTCCTGAAAAAAAGGAAGGAAATGGAGGCATCACTCTCCCAGATTTCAAACTATACTACAAAGCCATAATAATCAAAACTGCATGGTATTGGAACCAGAACAGACACATGGACCAATCAAACCAAATAGAAAACCCAGAAATAAACCCACAGATCTATGGCCAACTAATCTTTGACAAAGGAGCAAAGAATATGCACTGGAGCAAAGAAAGTTTGTTCAATAAATGGTGCTGGGAAAACTGGGTCACTACACACAAAAGAATGAAGCTTGACTACTACCTCACACCATGCAAAAAACCAACTCAAAATGGATTAAAAAACTAGACACAAGACCTGAAACCATAAAATATATAGAAGGAAATATAGGCGAAACACTACATGACATGCACCTCAAAGACATCTTTACAGATGCATCACCCAAAGCAGTGATAGTGAAGGCAAAGATAAACAGCTGGGACTACATCAAATTAAAGAGCTTCTGCACAGCAAAAGAGACAATAACAAAAACAAAGAGAAACCCCACCGACTGGGAGAAAATTTTTGCACCCAACACTAACAATAAAGGACTGATCACAAAAATCTACAAAGAGCTGATGAAACTCAACAAAAACAAAGAAAACAATCCAGTCAAAAAATGGGCAGAAGAGTTAAAAAGAAACTTCTCTAAAGAGGAAATAAAAATGGCCACCAGGCATATCAAAAAATATTCAACGTAACTTGCAATCGGGGAAATGCAAATCAAAACTACAATGAGATACCATCTCATACCAGTGAGAATGGCACATATTAAAAAAACTAGTAACAACAAATATTGGCAAAGATGTGGAGAGAAAGGAACTCTCCTTCACTGCTAGTGGGAGTGCAAACTGGTCCAACCACCATGGAAAGCTGTGTGGAGATTCCTCAACCTGTTGAAGATGGAGCTTCCATATGATCCAGCAATTCCACTCCTAGGGATTTACCCAAAGGACACAGAAACATCAATTCCAAAGAGCACCTGCACCCCTATGTTTATAGCAGCACAATTTACAACAGCTAAGCTTTGGAAACAACCCAAATGCCCCAAAATAGATGACTGGATCAAGAAGATGTGGTACATATACACCATGGAATATTACTCAGCATTCAAAAAAGATAAACACATGCAATTTGCAGCAACATGGATGGCGCTGGAAGGGATCATGCTCAGCGAAATAAGCCAGACAGAAAAAGAAAAATACCGGATGGTCTCACTCATAGCAGGAATCTAGAAAACTTAAATAAGGGACCAGGAAAAAGAATAGCTATAAGAAAGATAAAATCAAAATCAACAAACAACTATGAACGAGAGACACACTTTGGGGGGGGCGCCAGGGAAAGGAGAGATTGGGGTCAAAATCAGGGGGTTGCAATTGTATGGGGAATATAAAAACAAAAATAAATAAATTAAAAAAATGTTTGCTTGCATATATTATCTTGCCCATCTTCCTTCCTCTTGACTTCATTAATGCCTGATGGAGGCACTACTGGGATAAGCAGAGTCTGCTGCTGTTGTGGATAATTGAATTTCAGGCTTTGAGTCTCTTCTGCCTGGAAAGAGGTTGAAAAATCACAATTCTTTACTTATTTATTCATTATACTCTGTTGAGAACTGACTATCTACTTGTAGATACATATGGCAGTGAAGGAAGATTCAAGCACTGATCCTGCCCATCAAGGTGTTTATAGTCTCATAAAACATCACCAGAAATCACAATGCTAGATAGAATATGATACTTACCTATAAAAAATAATACAAATGAAGAAGCACTGCTGTTCAAAGGAGAGAAAAATGATTGGGAGGAGGGTATGTTGAGAAGCCTCTGAAGGAATCTTAGAAGAGGCAGCATGTGAGTTGATCTTGAAGAATGGATGATCCCAACACAGAGAGAGAGTTGAAAAAGGTATTGCAAGTAGAGGGATTACTATACAAGAAAGTATGAATGGGGCCTCCCCTAGTGGCGCAGTGGTTGAGCGCTGGGCTGCAAAGCTGCCCGCAGCCTCTGCAGTGCTGGTTTGATCCCTGGCTGCCAGTGAGGGTCCCACATGGCGCGCAGACCTCTCCTTCCACCCGTTGCTCCCCTCGGCAGTGTACTTCATCAGTCTGCCTGTTCTGCTCCCCACTCTGGCTCTGGTGAATTCTCTCACCCTCCCGTGCTTCTGACTGTAACCAGTGCTTGTATAAATAAATAAATAAATCTTTAGGAAAAAAAAAGAAAGAAAGTATGAATGCAGACTAATATGCAAAACATATATGTGGATTGGCACAGGCATTCTACTTTGGAGTGGAATCTGCTTAGAAAAGTGAGTTGAGGCAGATCATGGACAGTTTTGAGTGCCAGGCTAAATAAATGGGACTCCCTGATAGGCAATGAAGAGCCATTAAAAGTTTTTGAACAAAGAAATATTAGGAAGAGAGCTATCATTTTAGACATTCTAGTAGATTTGTATCATACTTATGAGTAACTAATGTGAATGCAAATATACTAGTGTTGAGTGTGAATCTGGTCTTTATAGAAACATTTTTCATACTACATAGCCCCCAAAACCAAGCAGATGACTTCATCTGGTGTTCAACCAAAAGGAAAGTGATCTGTTCCAAAAGTAGAGAAAAAATTGGCAGTGCTGACTTTCCAAGAAGCCCTATGTCTGCAGATTCTACTTGACGGACAATACAAGGCATTTTTAAAAGCAATTTTGACTATACAGAATTTTCTCCATGAACAATAAATTGAATACTAAACCCCCACATATGATGCAACTCCTGTATAATCTGGCAGCAGGCGATGTAGTAAATTGAAAGTAAAAAATGAAAATGTCAAATGGATTATCCAAAAAATCTAAGAAGCAGCTAAAAAAGAGTTAAGTGGAAATGGAAAGAAAATAGACAGGAGGCATAGACGTAAGATAATATAGAAAGAAAGTAGACAGAAATTGTTACTGAAAAGAGAACTTAAAATTGATATGCATATTGAAAACTTGGTTGATTGAGATTTTGAGCAATTTCTTCAACAAAAATAGGGATTCCTGAAAAGGAAATAAGTTATAATTATTATCAGCACAGTAAATTTCCCCCATTGGCTCAGGTCACCATAGCTCACCTGTACACAATCTTCTCCTATATATATAGAGAGAGAAGCTTCATATATATGTATGTATGTATATATATATCTATATATATATCCTTCATTTTTGTACAATGTATGATTTCCTGTGAAATTCCCACTACCAATTCACCTATGCACCATCACCATAGTCCCTTGTGCTCTTCCCACCCTTGTCCTGATCCTTTTCCCTCCTTCTCCCCTATAGAATGTCTCTGGTCTGTGATTGCCTGTTGATTTTGATTTTTACTTTATTAGAGTTATTTTTTTTCCTGATCCCTTATTTGGTTCCTCTACATGCCTCCTATAAATGAAACCATCTGCTATTTTTCTTTTTATTTCTGGCTTATTTCGCTGAGCACAATACTTGCAGCTCCATCCATGTTGCTGTAAATGGTATGAGTTTATCCTTTTTGATTGCTGAGTAATATTCCATATTCTAAGGTTTCTAGAATCCTTATAATATGTCCCTCTGAAGTATGTCTTTTACAGAGCACAGACCTTTTATAGAAGATAATGACCAGAAGATGCCAAGATAAAGAACAAAGACATTGCTCAAAGCCCCTTCCCACACTAAACAATACTGTATAATTTTACCTAATTGGGGCCTCCCTGGTGGCCTAGGGGTTAAGTGTCAGTGCTGTTACCACTACGGCATGAGTTCAATCCCCGGTCAGGGAGCTACCCACATGGCGCAGCAGACCTCTCTTGTTTCACCCGCTGCTCCCCTCAGCAGTGTATTTCA